GTGAATCTTAATCTCTTTACTGCCCCCTTGTCCCAGCCCGTCCTGTGTCTCGTTTGGTTACGCGAACATCGCGTTAATTGTTCCCGCCTCCGGCCGCGTCACGTGACTTCAAATTTCGCGCCAACACTGTGGCCGTTTCACAAAGGGAACAAAATTTTACGGAAACAGCAACATGGAAACGTGAGTATTTTGGACACTATTTTCTTTACTTTTACCTAAAATTTCGAGCCAAGCCCTAGCTTACCTGCGTGCAGACCTCTCCTATTCCCTTTGTTGCAGGCAGCACTAGCGGACCATTGATGTATTTATAGCCTTTAACAGTTCTATGGTTATCAGAGTCGAACGAACTGTTTTAAAAAAGAAGGCGAAGAGATTCAAGAGGGCTATTGTAGGTTTCGGTATTCGTTTCTCAAGATTTTCGTTTATATTGAACCAAGTATTGAAAGTATTATGCTGACCATTGAAGAATTTACTTGTCAAGCTTTAAACCATGAGTTGTCAATGTCGGCGAGAAAGAGCAAAACAATGTCAACATTTGAAAGAATAGTTTATACAAAAAGTTCCCGTTAAGCTGCGACAAAATTGTTAGGTCAACGGTGATGTGTATGTAATAAATTGGCGAAAATGCAAGCCGAAAGTTCGTTTGTGGAGACTGGGCGTTAAAGAACTGAAATTAGCCTGAGCGGATTCGCGATAGTCGCGCGCGCATGGATTCTCTCCCTACGCGTAAAAGATTGCCTGAATGGTGAGACGAAGAAACCAGGTGATCGCTACCAGCCAATAACAACTACCTATTACATAAAAACAGCAGCTGTAGCTTTGAAAGAAAGCATACATTTTTTTAACCAGATAATATAAAATAAAACGACTAAAAGGGAAGAGCACTTTAATCGTCAGTTAGGACTTGGTGATTCTTCTTCCTTTTACGCAGCTAAATAACTTTTAGTACTCCCCAGGTACTCCCGTTAAAACCTTTGATAACAATGACTAAAACAAAAAAAGAGTTTGGAATTAATGGAAGTTATTGTTTAAAAAAGCATGTCATTTTTTTGACAGATGGTTAATATTTCAGTCTAAATTGTTAAAACTCGTCAACTTGGACTGTTGAACATAAACTCTAATTAGGATCAGGTTCTATACATATGTACCTTTTTTTTACTGAGACCTACCAGCAAAGTTTTTGTCCCTGTTTGTGCTTGTCTTATTATTACTACTTTTTTAATTTATATGTCTTTATTCAGTTCTTCTTCTTCTTCTTCGTCTTCTTCTTCTTCTTCTTTTTCTTCTTCTTCTTCTTCTTCTTCTTCTTCTTATTATTATTATTATATTATTATTATTGATTTACATATTTATTTTTTTGTAGTTTAACTGTCTCGATTCACTGCATTCCCGCTGCAAAGGAGATATTATACTTTTTCGCAATAAAGTTTCATCTCTCTGTAACAAAGTTTATTTTTTAATAATGACGAATCGACGTCGTGCTGACTGAAAAATTAAAAACTTAAAAAGTTCTCAGAGACATGTTTTTGTTGATCAATTTTATCTTTTTACCTCCCACAAATTGGTAAAGCAAATTATTCAGTGTCAGATGTCAGCGACCATTTCAAGCTGTCTAAGGTACCGTAACAGCTTGCTGGCTTGTGCGCGGGTTGTGACATTGCAACATGAGTTAAGTTTTCAGTAAGAATATGCACAAATAATTAGGGGGAAACATCCTTAAAAGACCAAAAGGCATTCGTTGTAAGTAAAGATCACACTATAACCAAGAGTTGTAACAGGTTTTTATTGATCCATTTTTGAAATTATGCCGACTAAGGGGCCATGATATGTTTAGTTCCTGCTTTTCTACCGTTGATATTTGTGATGCACCAAGAACCAGCTTCTGTATTACCATCAGCGCTGATTGTGTTCTCAAAAAGTTAAATAAGTATTGAAATAAATTCCAATTTCGGCGGTGTGCCGTCTAATGAGCTTTTTGAGCTCGAATTGACACTAAAGAACCCTTTATATTAAAATTTGTGTTTGGTTTTCTCTGCGTCATCTGCAAAACTTGGCCTAGATGTCTAGGTGATAACATCTTCGGGGGGAGTACTTAAGCCAATTTAGGATAGGCGCGTGTCCCGAAGGTTTTTAGGCTTATTTTGTAAAGGGAAATAACGTCCATAAAGGAAAAATGACACTCTGTTTGAGGAAAAATCGACAATGCAAAACGTTTACATGGACAATTCATAACGCATAACAAATTTGGAGTGAGTGTTGTTCGATGGCTTTTTTAAGATAACTTAGTTTTAGGTCCATAAGACGGATCAGGTACCGTGATATTGGGCACCCTATCGAAGGACTACAATACCAAATGAATGATACCCTGCTTAAGGCATGGCCTACCGGGTAGCCTCTTCGGTAATCTGAATGGGAGTTCTCCCCCGGTCAGTTCCGTTAGAAAACAAATTTAAATAAGGATAAAATGAACATTTCATTGTAGACTTTATAAGCAGTCAGTGGGCTAAGAAATTTAACTGCAAAACGGAAAAATAGAACGGAAGACTGCAAAGTGGGGCAGGTGCCGGTGAGAAACTTACTTTAAACAGGCGAATGGAAACTTTGCAAAAGTCTTCCTTTACACAGGAAGCACTAACACGTCATTGCAGTTTTCATATAACCTCTCACAATGACAGGAGAGGAGGGTTTGTATTCAACGCTGGTCACTAACTGCATCTTTAACGTTTTCTTGCTTTACACCGCTACCGCGTTAAACATCATAACAATACAAGCGCTGAGGAAAACGTCGTCGTTGCCAAGGACTTTGAAAACATTGCTCTTGAGTTTGGCTGCTTCTGATCTCGCTGTTGGTTTACTTGCCCACCCTGTTTTTGTAGTATATCTCATTATTCAAATACGACAAAACACTAGCGATAATGCTTATGATACAGTATTTGCCATTTTCTTTGAAACACTTGCAGCTCCACTTGCAACTGCATCGTTGTTTAGTGTTGTCGCTATAACTGTTGATAGATTCTTAGCCGTTCATCTTCATCTCAGGTACCAGGAACTTGTAACCCACAAGCGTGTTATTGCTGTAGTGATATCTATTTGGGTTATCAGCGCATTTCTTTCTTTAGTTTTCCCTGCAGTTGGTTTGGAATGGATTCCAAACAGAGTTCCTGGGATTATGTTTGCAGCCAGAGACGCTGTTTGTTTCATAACTACAGGATTTCTCCACTACAAGATATACGCATCTGTACGACACCACACAGGCCACATCCAAGCTCTGCAAGTACAAGAAGAAACACAAAACAGAGAAATGACAAATGCTGCAAGGTTGAGAAAAACTGCACTTGCTACATTCTACATCTATTCGCTGTTTTTGGCTTGTTATGTGCCAATCTTTTTTGTCAACCTTGCCCGACTGTTCTGTGGTCAAACTGCCTTGATACGGCATTTGCAGGATTATGTTTTTACCCTTATGCTTTCCAATTCATCTCTCAATCCTTTGATCTACAGCTGGAAGATGAGACACATTCGACATGCTGTTATAGACATACTTCAAAGCGTACTCCCAAGTCGCCACTAAAACAATTAAGGGCCTGTTACATGGAGGTGGGGGAACCTAGGTAGGTGGCGTAACCCGCTCAGGTGGAGTAAAAATATAAACTGCGTTTAGACGCAATCTTGCAACCCCGTCATCCTAGGCTGCAT